TTACGTGGAATAAAGGCAACATGTCGAGACCTGTGATCGTGAAACGGGATAACATATGATTGGACAGTAGATATCTTGCTCTGTGTCACCATCACATAGTTAACAGCGCACGAGGGCAAGATGACGTGAATCCTACCCAAGGGCATGATGGGCCCACCTGGCACGTCGATTCCGCGTATTGATCCCACGCAAGAAAACATACAAAGTTCATAACTTTTGGACGATGTTGGCATGCACATAGAAAAAAACAAACGACCCTCTTGGGTTTATTGTGCTGCAAACACAGCTGGCTTTCATTATCGGCTCTCGAAATAAATAACAAGTTTAACCTATGAGGCATTCACTGAATGAGGTTGCTACATATAGTGACAGTTAAACAAAACTCAAATAGCGATAGTTGATTCTACAACTAAACATGCAAGCAGTCATGTCCCCATATTTCAATTTAACTATCAATATGAAGTAAAACTAAAAAACGAAGACCCCACCGATTTCAATGTTTTAGCGTCAAGTATAACGTTTTTGGTGAGGGTCTCCGTTTTGTAGTTTGGGGCGGGTAAAACTAGAAAACGAAGACCCCATCGATTTCATTGTTTTAGCGTCAAATAAAGCGTTTTAGCGGCGGTCTTCGTTTTGTGGTTTGAGGCGGGTAAAACTACAAAACGAAGACCCCAATTGCTCAAAGAGGGTGAAACAATATACCCGGGAAACATCATTGAATGCATGAGATGATTGAATGCATTAGATGATTTGAGTAAGAAACACTGAATTGTCCTGCTATAAAAGGCTTGGCAGTTTTTGAGACGATAAATGAGTTTTTCAACTAATGTTAGATGTTGACGCAATCTTTTCAATCTCTTTATGTTAAAAATGAACTTATTTTGCTGTATTCTCAAGTATTCAAGGACTTTTTTCATAAAATTTTAGCACTGCTTATTCAAATTCAAGGGGTTTTCAAGGAGAAAATCATTTTCAAGGAGTTTTTAAGGACCTAGCAGTTTTCTAAGGAGTATTCCAGGCCCGTGCGAACCATGTATGAAAAACAACGGTGCTGCATTTCGGGTAAGGCGCTCCCTGCCATGTTCACTCTATTGCTTTATTGTTCACAAATTGCGTAGGGATTAAATGAACAGCAAGTTTTAATTTTTTATATGAATAAACATGATTGAAACACTGCTGATAGTTGTCCTCGATTAGGTCCAAAGGAATTTGTCGGGTTTTATTAACATATTTTTAAATTTATTACCTCTGATTACAACTAAACTCAGGTGATAATGTTTTGCAATGTCACTCCCAGCGATTCTCTTGCTTGTCGAACATGGTATATCACTTTTTAACTGGCTGATTTTTTTAATGAAGCACGCGTGGCATTTTTCCACTAAACTAAATTCCAGGGATATTAAAAAATGTAATTGTTTTTGGATATATACCGTATTTACCCGTGTATAATGCGCGCCTGTGTATAATACGCACCCTAATTTTTGACCTCTTTTTTCCGAAAAAAAAGATTTCATGACAAATACCAAGAATTAAAACTTCCATTTTTTCACTTAATTAACAAGAGCTGGGAATTCATCAATAATATGTTTACAACAATTTCTAACTAGTTGCTACTACAAATATCGAACGCACCGAGCACCTATTTACAAGCTTTTCTATTCAGTAACAGTCAAACGTTTTATAAATGTTGTAACTTGAAGTCCTTACTAATATACCTAAATTCACAACTTGAATTATTATCATAACAGCCGTTCATAAACATTATTTCTACTCACAGTACTGCTGGTAGCTTGAATATAATTACTGCATTGCAATTGCGTGATTTAAGTAAAATGTTCAGTGTCTTTAAACCGACTCACAGTCCGATTTGAATAGGTTTTCGATGACTGAATCCTCAAGTTCATCAGTGATCTTAGTTGAATTGTAAACCAGTTCATCTTGTGATCCATTCGAATTGTTTGTGATCCCACACTTCAGAGAGAGGCAGCGATCATTTCTGATGGAATGCCTTCCTACGCTTGTGAAATATACGAACAGATCAGTTCCTCCGAAGCCTTTTTTTGTCGTCCAGTAAGTTCGTGAATTCCGTCAGCCATCCACTCCTTTCGGACTCCATCTCTAAATGGTTTGTTCAAAGATACATCGAGCGACTGGAGAAGGGAAGTTCGCGTTTGAAGGAAGTGTTCACAGTATCTGTCATGTGAGCTTCAAATGAGTCGTAAACAAGCAAGCTCTTTCTCCTCCCCAGGCCATCGATCCGTGCACTTTTACTTTATTTGTTGCGTTTTTAACGTATGCAAATTAGGACGTGCTTGACAAACAATAGAATCCGTGTATAATACGCACCGCGATTTTGATGCTTGTTTTTATGGAAAAAAAAGTGCGCATTATACACGGGTAAATACGGTATGTTATTTGCCGGCTGGGAGGTCCATATGGTGAAAAACTGTGACCGAGGTCTTGAAAATGCTGCCCTACGGCCGTGAAAAACTGTGACCGAGGTCTTGAAAATACTGCCCGAGGCCGTAGGCCGTAGGGCAGCATTTTCAAGACCTCGGTCACAGTTTTTCACCATACGGACCGACCCTTAGCCGGTAAATAACATTTTTTTTTTTTGAAACTTGACGAAATTCTTTCCGAAAGAACCCGAATGATTTAGGGCTGTAAATACGGCAGATCTTCCATAAACCGAACAGTTTTTGAGCCAGTAAATGGTAGGTAAAATAGAGGTGATGCAAATTCAAGAGAGATGCCTCAACGAAACATTTTCGTTTCCGTAACGATAATTTAAAAGGCTTCCAAACAAACTTTGAAACATTATTTTCACAAGTATCTGTCACAATCTGACACCTGTCAATTAGAGAGCGCGTTAGTAAAAAAGAAAACGTAAGAACATTTGAAAAACAACGGAACTAGTTTGGCAAGATTCAAAAACAGTCAATGATCTAACGGAAAGTATTATTCACTCTCATCGACGATTCATTCATGTACGAAGATTTACCTCTGTTCATTAAGTAAACGGCGAGGAAAGTAATCGTGAGTAAATTCAATTTTTTTATTTTGAAGTTGTGAGAGTTTGCTCGTTTGTTTGCTGCAATGGCGTGCGTAAATCTGGTCTTTCCTTCACAAAAACTAAATTCGAATGGCACACTCCAACGAGACACAAGGGGATTTAATGCGGCCTTTTCTCAAAAAATTCTTTCAGTTTCTGTTGTGCAATTTACGGTAAAATGTTCAAATTGAACAGACTTGGAAAGACTCACCGAGAGCGTATATGTGTTGTAGAACTTAAATTAAAACTTCGCTCGCTCTTTCACCGCGAGCAAATTGCTTGAGAAAATTCAGGTATTAAATGAATGAAAGTTCCATCGTTCAGTTTAACTGTAACCAAATACCTCACGTTTTAACTTTCTAGGTACTTTTTGTGAACGATTAAAATTAATTGCAGACGAGTTTTAGGCCGCTTGTCAACCAACGTAAAGACACTATTGTTTATACAAATTCATTCTGAAACCAATATTTTTCTGTCAACCAAAGTGATTTGAGAAAAGAGAGGATTCATAAGTTATTCATCGGCTTGAGGTAGTGACCGACGTGTTTGCTTAAAAATACTGCCCAGCCGGAAACACGAGATATATTTACGAAAAATGGCAACGAAAGTTTGGATGTACTTGGCGACTCACGAAAGCGTTACCGTGGCCTGTGGGCAGAGATAGGAAAATACTGACCAGGTAAGGAACCAATCAGATTGCAAGATTCGTTACCGTGCCCTCTCAAAAAAAAATAAACCCTCTTATGATCTGTTCGCCTCTGCTCGCAGAGCAGTAGGGAACTTAAGCACCTGACGTTTTCTACGGGACGACGGCAACCGGAAGTCAAATTTACTTCCGATCCACGTTTCCCGCCGACAGAGTCCACCGTCGCGACTCTGCGCCGACTTTGTTTTGCTTATTTTGACGTCGCCTGTAAAACATGAGTTTCACTTTTATGACTTTCGTGCTTTTATATCATTGTGCCTGCGATGTTTTGCACTTAGTGACACGTTAAATATTATTCTGTCTTTTTGGCGCTTGTACGAGCGATTGTAAA